GTGCCCAACCACGGTACGCCGGTTGTAGATAGAAAAAGGGGGACTTGGGCTGTTCTTCCCAGGCCTGGGCGCCGCGCGGTACAGTGTCATATGGGAATCCGCGCCCAGGTAAGCCGGCGCGGGTGCCCAACCACGGTACGCCGGTTGTAGATAGAAAAAGGGGGACTTGGGCTGTTCTTCCCAGGCCTGGGCGCCGCGCGGTACCGTGTCATATGGGAATCCGCGCCTGGTTGTCTCAGGCTTGGGCTTAGCCCTATAGCCTATAGGTTATGGCATTGGGCTATTGCTACGAAGATATGGGGATCGAGACCGGCAGGTAGCAGCGCGGGAATAGCGGAGCAGGGGGAGGCTAAGGGGTTGAGGGTCCCGCGGGACTATCCCCCTTTTGTTTGGTCGGGGGAGTCCGGTCGCGGGCTAAGCCCCTTGGTACTAGGGGAGCCCCGCTAGTTCCTTCCCCGACAGTATTTCGGGATGCTCGGGTCTTTTTTTATGGCCCCGCTTATGATAGAAGATCCAAAGCTAGTCCGCGGCCCACAACCCCCACTGGCGGACAGGGAGTAAGAAGGCCGAGCGGCTTTTGGCGCCGCCACGGGGCATTACCCCGGCCGGAGTCCTTCGGAACATCCGTTAAAAATTGAAATGACACAGAGAAAAGTTGCATGTGCCCCTGCGCACGGAGGACATGCATAAACCGAGGGGCGGGGCCGCGAGTGAGTGTTGTCGGAGTGCCGAGTGTCGTCACACTGCGCGGAGTGAGAGGCCGGGTCGGCGACTGCGGGAGCAAGGGAAGTGAGCGGAACGCAGTAAGTAGCGGGCGGAGTCGGGAGGAAGACGAGAGGGGAGCAGCGAGGATGAACCTGGCTGGGGCCGGCGTCGAAGTACGTTCGGAGTAGAAGACGAGGGAGTGAGCGAGAGGTGACGGACGGGAGTGCTGAGGCAGCAGGGCAGGCGCAGCGGAAGGCGAGGCGGTGCTGCCACAGCGGCCTGTGAGCGCAGAAAGAAAGGATGAATCCGGACGGATAGGCGCGCCAGGTGTGGGCGGGACAAAGCGAACTATGGCGGATGCGAGCTGGACCATGAGGAGTAGGGAAACACGAAACTCACCCGATCCGTGATGAAATCGGGTGAGAGAAAGTACGTTTTTGAGGTTTTATGGGCGGGCGAGTCAGAATCTATGGTCAGATTAGGGCGACAATTAGTAGGAAAGTAGGTAGTAGAGAAAGTTAGCTCGTCGAGCTATGGTGGGAAGGAGAGACGGGGAGAAGAAGGTATCGATCTTACCCTTTTCCTGATAAAAACGGGAGGGGGAAGATGTTATTCTGATGTTTTAGGATAGGGCGACCTTGAATTTGTAGTTAGATTGAGTGTTAGATCAGTAGATCAGAAGTTGGATAGAAGAGGTGTGGGAAGCTATGGCAGGGAGAAGGAGAAACGAACGCATGTTGCTCTCTTCTGAGCGGAATCCGATGGGGGGAGATTTGCGATAGGGGCTTTGGGACGCTGCGAGTAGGATGGAGAAGTTAGATTTGGGAACGGGATTGTGGGTTTTGTGCTGCGACGAGCATAACCTGCGTACGGGGGAGGGGCTGGTTGAATGTGAAGTGAACCTGTCTGCGTTTGCGGGCAGATTCATTCGATCTTGGACAAGCCCACGAAGCAAGTAGTGAGGGGCCAGCCGCTTGGTGGAAGCTTACCTGTGGACGGGAGCGCGGCTGCCCAGGCAACCAAAGAAACGTGACGACGGACAGAAAATCGGGGGATTGCCCGAATAAGTCAAAGACATCATCCGCCGTGTTGAGCGGAGTGGCCAAGGACTAACTTTAAGTTTGCGGGGCTGATAGTTGGCCGGTGAACTGTTGTCCCAATGTTGCCAGTCTATGCCCCACGTGCTATCAGTCTGCTCAGTCAAAGTACCGCTATTTCTTCGGACCGGGGCATTCCTAACCGTGCAACAATAATCTGATTGCAACAGCAAGCCGACCACGGAGGCTGCGGTCTACCTGCAGGCTGACGGTTGGCTCAGCCTGTCGACCGGAGTGACGGGAAGGTGACTGCGGGGTTGTAGACTTAGCAGTCTAGCCAATGTGCCACTCGATCCACGACTGAGCTCTCCTTCACATAGGGAGGGTGTGGACTGGGTTTTCTCTCTCTTGCGCGGCTCGCACGGCTGGTGGATGGCAAGGTTGCAGCTGCCGCACCCTTGCGGTTGGCTATGTATGGTTGACTTATTGTTGCATTCTGTTTGCTTCCGCTATGCTGTTGTGCACGGTTGTTGGGCGCGCGTGACGGCAAGCTGCTACATATAGTTGGGTTGTTCAACAGGTACACGCGGTTGTGCATGGTTAGTGGGCGCACAATATTGGCGAATCGCTGCTGCATTCTTACTTGAGCGTAACAACGGCACACGGTTACTACGGCCCGGGGGAGCGACTAGGCGACAATAAGAGGGTCTGCCAGGGATTGAGGGACCATTGAAGATCCGATAGTTGGTATTTTGACGTCAGTCTAGCCAAACCGCGACGTGTTTCGGCCACCATTGCGGGGCCCTCAGGCGCATCAAGGCATCAAGGCCCTCTCCCGCGAGTGTAAGTGCACCCCTCTTGTATCTGAGAGTCTCAAAACTATCTTTACCTGCCTTTCTTACTCTCACTCTAGCCCTTTGGTTCTGAGAGGAAGGCGGCAGGCAAGCTTGTGACCCGTGATCTGCGCCAAGGCCTTTGTGGGAGGTTCGCCCCACCGATTGCGGGAGCTCAGCCGGGACTCAGGAGGAGTCCTGGAGGCAGGGAACTGTGTGGTAATTCCCCGACCCTTTCTATAAATTCAACTATAACCCCTAGCTGTATATCTTTCTATGGTTTGACTGAGTGTATTGTGTGAATCTTGTGCCTTGACTTTGGTTTGACTTTCAGGATTTGAATTCAGATTAAGGAACGCATGCACAATCTCAGTTTCATTTTCTTTGACTGTGTGAAAGCAGATTTGTTTCAGAAAAGGGATTGCATCTTGGGGAAGGTTGGGAGGAAGGCAGTATTGTGTGCAGTTTGGTTGGATCGTTAAGGCTGGGAGACCCCCATAAGTTTGGGGAAGCCCAACGCTTTGTTTATTTTGGTTTGCATGAAGCAATTAGGCCGCTCTATAAGTTTAGGTAGCCTGAATGCTTTGGAGGCTGGGAAGTCTCCATAAGTTTGGGGAGACCCGGTGCTGTGAATTGCATGGAGGGTCAGGACGCTCTATAAGTTTAGGTGCCCTCACTGCTCTGATTTGTGAAGGCTTGATTGTGTTTTATTTTTAGGAGCTCAGGGCGCTCTATAAGTTCAGGTACCCTGAGTTGCCTTGGTTCATGGGTCTTCTTAAGTTTCGTTGGTTCTGAACGAGGAGGTCTGAACCGCTCTATAAGTTTAGGTGCTTCAACCCTTCTCCTGTTTTGTTCCGAGGAAATGAACTTGACAAAGGGGCAGACTGTTCTATAAGTTCAGGTGGTCTGGCCCAATGCCACGCACAGTTTGAGTCAGAGCGGAACGAATTAGGCAGAGAGTCAGACTGTTCTGTAAGTTCAGGTGGTTTGACTCAAAGCACACACATGCTAAACCCAATGGTTACAATTTGGCTATACCTTATTGTTATTATTATCCTACAGGGAATGAGTCAACTATTGAGAAAATATCATACCACTCCTCTAGGGAATGAGTATCTCTTGCCAGAAGAATCAGCAACGGTTTATACGCAATGCAATTTGACAATGAGATGATAGACTTTACACGATACTTCATAATTCGGGGTACAGTAAAAGGGAATAACATAAGATTAAGTAGGGATGATGAAAGAGAACTGATTGAGGATTATATTGGAAGACTGAGAAGGATTGCATTGCCATTTATCACTACCCATTCTATTATTGCCTACACTCTCTATGTACAAAATTCTCAAGGGGTAAAGCAAACGAGAGAAGAGAGAAACGAACCTGTATCTCTTGCAAGAAGAGTAAGAGACTGAAAAGTAAGAAAGGGGAGGACAAAAGTGACAGAGAGAGAGATGAGAAAGTATCAGAAAGAGTCTATGGTCAAATACAAAAACTAATGACGAGACTCTGATAGGTGTTATACGGGAACTGGTAGAGAGAGTTGACACTATAAAAGGAGGATCGAATATTGCAAGAGCAAAGAGGCCAGATGGGAGGATTTCATGCTTCAGAAGGCCTCAAGTAAATGATTTCTTGGATGAGTATGAATTATTTGGGCTCAGTTATGGTTGGACAGACAAGCAACAACTTAAACACCTTCTATCTTATTGTGACACTGACTCGAGGTTGGTTGTTCAAGAGTTGATGGAAAGGGTCACTACATGGAAAAAGGTTAAAGAAAGAATGAAAAGATAATTTGAAAAAAATTATGTTCCAACTACTACCAAGGATCTCCTCATCAGAAAAACTAAGTATGACACTTTCAATGTTTTTCTCCAGACTTTTATCAGAACGGCCAGAAGAATTACATACTTGGATGAGGCCCCGAGATGCCATATTTTCCTGACTAATTTTACCGATAATGAAAGGCAGACTGTTCTTAATCAAGCTCAACACTATCCTCTCAGATGGGATGAAATGGTTGCAATTGTCAGAACTCTACCTACGGTCTCTCACAAGAAGTGGTCGTTGGATCAGATCAGTACATTGACCAAAGACTGGGAGACTGAGAATGGTATGAACAGAGGGAACAACCTGAGTGCTGAAAATATTATTTAAAGGGTTATAACCAACTACATGCCTCTCAATCATGCTGTGGATGAGAAAGAGAAGAGAAAGGCAGAAAGTGATGGTGATGATGATGATGATGATGATGATGATGATGATGATGAAAATTATGGTAAGAAAGAGGATTTCTCCAGATCCAGAAAGAATGAAGGGAATGGTGGAAAGGTGAATAGAGAGAGAAGGAAGTATGACGAGCGACCAAGGAAGACTTTTGTCTGCTATTATTGTGGTGAAGAAGACCACACTACCACTTACTGTAAGCCAATGGAAGAGGATGTGAAGAGTGGGGTGGCAAAGAAGGATGCAATGAGTTATGTCTGTGATAGTTCATGGAACAAATTGGATCTCAGGCATCCTGGAGGTATGAGATTTTATGCCCTTAAGCATGATGAAAAGATGAAAAAAAATAAGAAGAGAAAGACTAAAGTGAATGTTCACACTTTCATAGGCGAACTGCCTAAGGGACTCATACAATAACCTGATGATTCTTTCGCCATGATTGAGTTGCTTCTACGGTACCTCACTTTAGTGAGGAACATGCCTGATGAGATCACTCCAAGCGAGTTTCCGTCATGAGATAATTCTGCTTCTCGGATTTCCTCTAAGTTAGCAACATTTTCTCCTAGCAAGCCTGTTTGTTCGGCCAACATGATGTCATTTGAAGGTGAACCACTATCAGAACTCGTTATGAAATCCAATACAGTGATTGGGGAAGTGAGGAATATTCATGCACATTTAACTTCTCAAATGATAGAGGGAAAAAAAAGAAGAAAGATTGAGGAAACTTTGATTGAAATCCTCGATGATCAAGAACCAGATCCTTTGCCCAAGAAAAGTGAGCAAGGGAAGAAGATAATTTTTTTTCTTAAGAGTGAACTAGAGGATGAAACCGTAATTACGGATGTAATTACTAAGATGTTGGAAGAAACAGAGGTGACTCTTTCAAGGAGGCAATGACCCTAGCACCTAAGTTGAAGGAGGAATTCAAAAAATTAATTGAGAAGAAAAAAATAGAAGTTAATTATTTGGGATCAGTCATTCCTAGTCAGGTTAACAGGACCTTGCCCGAATGTAAGATGAGATTCGCAACCATGGGCTGTCGCTATTTAATAATCTATATTAATCAGGTGAAAATCCGAGCATTAGTGGATTCTGGGGCGGAAATGATACTTATCTTCCAGAAGGCAATGGAGGTCTGTGACCTGACTATTGATAGGTCCGCGAGGCAAACACTAAGCAATATTGCTGGAGAGTTCTTCGTGGCGGGATTTATTGACAATTTACCTATCAGAGTTTGATAATGACAGTCGAGCTATAAGGGTTCATGACACCGGACATGGACCATGACTGTATTATGGGCACTCTGTTCTTACACAGGATGAAGGCCGTCTAGTTCTTCAGTCATGAAGGGTCGTCTTGAATCAGTCTTCAAGACCCTGAGACTGCACAAAAACAGACCTCCATGGTCTGTACGGCTTATCATCACAAGCATAAGATATCAACTAACTCAATTAGAAGGAAAAATTCTGCTGAGAGGATAAGAAAAATAAAAGGGAAAGACAAACAGGAATTTAAGGCGGAAGTTTCAGTTGATATCAATCAGATTTCGAAGATGATGAAAGCCCTTGGCAAACTTAAAAACGAAGATGGGCAGATTGAGGCATTTAAGAAGGCTGTCGAGACAGCCAAAGGTGAGAAAATGGAATTGAAGTTTGCATCAACTCATCATTTTTTAGGAAAATAGCCACTGAGTCAAAAATAAAATACAAGCCCAAGGGGGTGAAGAAGAACTCGGTGACAGTCCTAATAGAGAAGGATTATGACGAGACACTAAAAAAAGAAAGGAGAATTATCAAAGCATTAAGGGAATCTGCGAAATTTGAGAATAGAGTCACCAGGGAATGGTTTGACAAGATGAAGATTGACTCTGATCAATTTATTCTGCCTAAAGAGAAGGAATATATCTTCAAAGTGTGTCAAAAGTTCTTTGGTGCATTCTCCTCTAATGATGAAGAAAGAGGGCGGTTGGATGTCGATATGATTAAGATGGCAAAAATCTGGACAGTTGATCACGTCTCATGGAATGACAAACCAACTAAGTATGCCCTGAAAGAAGAAGCAGAAGTGGTAAAGTACCTTGACAAAAATATTGCATCTAATGTTGTTGAACCTGCAGATGGACCGTATACTAACCACTGCTTTTGTTTTTGAAAACCAGGGGGTGGATTGAGATGGATACAGAATCTTCAGAAGCTCAACTCGGTAACTATACGTGATGCAGGTAGTCTCTCTAATGCTGATCTTCTTTCTGAATCCTTCGCTGATCGATGCATTTATTCTTTAATTGATGTATATTCTGGCTATGATCAGTTTCTCATTGATTCCACTAGTCGACCAATGACTGCCATGCACACGCCAAGGGGCCTTATTCAAATGTGCGTGGTACCTCAAGGTTGGACTAATGGTGTGGCAGTGGTTCATAGGGATATTATCAAAGTCATGCAGGACATCTCACATGAGATAACTAGTCCTTATATTGATGATAATGCCGTGAAAGGACATATGGTAAGAGATGAGACTTTGGTTGGGGATGGCATCAGAAAGTTTGTCTGGGAGCATGCTGAAGGTGTGAAGTTGGTTCTAGAGAGACTTCAGAAGTATAAGGGTAGGAACCCTGACCCTAAGAAGATAAACAAAATTTTGAACTGGTCTTTGCCCCTCAAGCGAGTGACAGACGTCGGGAGCTTCTTGGATGTCTGGCGGTTCTGGAGGATTTTTATACCTCATTTTGCTACCCTTGCAGAACCTCTGAGGGAAATGGTGAGACAAGGGGCTGGCTTATCTTGGATTGAGAAAAGACAGACTGTTGAAGAAACTCTGCAGGAAAAATTAAAAGATGGTGGCGTAGTGTTGGGAGTGTCGTACTATGATGATGAAGGGGGTAGACCCTTCATCATTGAGGCAGATGGAGGATCAATTACTCTGGGTAGTGTACTCATACAAAAAGATGAGAATGGTAGGGAAAGACCTCTAAGGTTTGAGAGTAGGACTCTCAACTCCACAGAAAGAGACTACACCCAGTTCAGGAAAGAGCTACTGACCATTATCCACTGTCTCAGGTGCTTCAGACACTATGTCCTTTGAAGCAGATTCATTCTGAGAACTGATGCATCTGCTGTGATTGGTGCAATTAAGAAACACAAACAAGTGGATCCAACAGTGAGCAGGTGGATAGCCTTCATTTGGACTTTTGATTTTGTCTTGGAAAAAATTTCAACTGAGAAGAACAGGGCAGATGACCTAAGTCGAATCGAATGTGGGAAAGATTGAGAAGAAGAAGATATTGAAAGAACTATTGAAGAATCTTCTTATGTTGATAATTTTATGGATAAGAAAGATGATGAAGATTATGAAGTATCAAGCTCCTATAAGTGGAGTCTATGGCCTGAAGAAAGAAACTGTTGGGGAAAAGTTCGTGATGCCTATGTCTATGAATCAATTCTCGAAAAAGAAGAAGGGGAAGAACAGAATGACTGGTATGCAAAGATCAATGCAGCAGTTGTAGCAGCCCATGAGATGGGGGAAAGTTCAGGCTCAAAGAAAGAAGAAGAAGGTGAGAAGAAAGAGGAAGAGATATCATTCATTTTTGAAGAATACGATGGGATCTACCAAGACGTTGGGAAAAAAATGGAAAGAGAGCAGTTAAAGGAATATTATTGCAAGAATTTAAGGAAAAAGTTCAGGCGGGGTCACCTCTTTGTGGATGACAAGGGAGAGTTGCCTCCATTAAGAGTGATCTGTGGGAAGGAAAGGCAACTGGAAATAATTGTTGCTCTACACGAGAGGGTTGTTGGCGGTCATAGAGATGCTGAAGCAATGTACTCTAAGACAATTAAACTCTACTTCTGGCCTGGCATGAGGAACATGATTTACAGGTTCTCTAAGTCATGTGTGTTATATCAGAATGATTGAGCCCTTATTCCCTATTATCTTGGTAGAACCAGGCAGCAGAGTTCATTTGAATCTCATCACCATGCCCTTAGGCAAGGGAGGGATGAGGTACATATTGAACATGAGAGATAATTTTTCTGGCTATGTTGAGGTAAAAGCTCTGAGGAGGAAGACAACTGAGCAAGTAGCTGACTGGATAGAGGAAGTCTATCTCAGATATCCCTTCATCAGAGAGTTTGTCTCAGACCGAGGGTCTGAATTCAGGAATGAGATTGTAAGAAGAACCACTCTCAGATTGGGCGTTAGAATTCGATATGTAACTACTTATCACCCTCAAGCGAATGCGCCGGTCGAGAGAGGTCACAAGACTCTAAAAGATTCATTGGCTAAATGGTGTGAAGGGAACCTCAGTAGCTGGCCAAAGGTATTGAGAACTGCAGTTTACGCTGACAATATTACTGTCAAGAGAACCACTGGTTATGTTTCATTCACTCTGTGGTAGGACCGATATGCTACTCTGCCTATTCAAAGTATAATCAGAACATGGCGTAAGTCAAGAGAGTGACAGATAATATTCAATTTCAGAGCTTCTTCAGATCGGAATGAAACAGATATCAGAGGTTGATCAGGCAGTAATGAATGTTGCAGAGAGAATGACAACCAGCAGATTGTCAGATCAAGAAAGATGGAATAAAAAGAGATACATAAGGAAAAAGGAACTGAAGGTTGGTGACGTTGTTCTTCTATTCGACAGTTCTCTTGAGACTCAGTGGACTAAACGATTGGAGCCCAGATGGCTTGGTCCCTACAGAATTACAGGTGAAGCAGAAGACAAGGTTTATGAGATATCTAAGATGGATGGTTCAAGAGTTCATGACATGGTATCAGGGTCAAGACTTCGTAAGTTTATTTTCAGAGACCCTGACTTGGTCCCTACAATGACCTCAAAGAAAGGAAAGAAGAATCAGTCATCCAGTAAGAGAGTTGCTTCAAAAAATTAAGAAAAGTATAGTGACACACAAAATGTACAGCAAAAACAAAAACTTCAATAGACTTTGACTACTCTTACACTGTCAATTCATGATGTCAATTTTCAGTATGTCAGACTTTGACACGAGATACTTGAGAAAAACTTTTCAGATGATTTGTATTCGTCTTTGTGTATGAACTGACCTTATTAATCTCTATAAGTGACGAAATCAGTGAGATCAAAGTATCATGAATGCTGAGTCACAGTCGGACCACGCAGCATCAGACCCATGAGTGGGGGTAACTGTAAAGCGCAGTTGCAGTGATATTAAGTCCAGAGAACTCGTGACCGTGGAACATCAAAAGAGTAACCAGTCTTGATCTCATGACGAAAAGAAAGTCTGACGGGCATAAAGAAGTTCAACTCTACCTGACCAGAAAGATGTCAGTAGAGGAATTTCGTGTCTTCTGACTGAGCTGTCTGTCCAAAAGAGCTATCAGGAAGGTAGGTATAAAGAAGTTGAGCCTTGCGTGACCATGAGAGTAATTTGCTTGGGGACTTCGTGTCTCTTGACTAAGATGCCTATCTTCAGTTTTAGATGAGGGAAGAGACCTCTCTGGGATCAACACTTTGTACTTCCTGAGGTTGAAAGGAGGTCTCTGGGAAATGCATTGTCGACTGTTGTTTGTTGCTGTTTAGTGCCTCTTGAGACGGAAGGGACGTTTCTTGAGAAATGTTTGTTCTGTTATCTGGGGCATGGATTGTCTGACTGTGGGTGTGAGATGTTTGCTTGGCTGTCTGTGCCTGAGATTTTCTTTTCTAACCTAAAGATGCATTGATTGTCGGGGCTAGCCAGAGCCTTACCGCAATAAGTTGCAATCTGGTGGGATCAACAGGTCCCCGACGTGAGTGTCGAATTTCGTAATTGACTGAGGCTAAGACTCCGGGGGTTTGACCAGTAAGGTCAAACGGGGTCAACTGGAACCCTACTGTAGTTAGAGGATGCAATCCAGTGAGGTTCGCCAGAGCTTGGAACCGTGGTTAGATCGGGTCCCACGTTCAAAATTCTAGGCGGGGTAGCCAGCGCCCTAGGCCAAAAACTGGTGGGTGAGCCAGTTCCCGAGCGCAATGGTCAAATCCGAGTACGGGACAGTCTGACTAATGGGAGGTCTACTGTCATATGGTGACCAGACCCACTATAGTCTGGGTGTCCTGGCGAGAGTGCCAAAGGGCTGCCATACTCAAGTAGTGGTTATGCTTGTCCTGATCTCGAGGCAGGTTAAAGGGGTCGTCAAGACAAATGGTCTGATTGGTCCTGGCTTGAGGCGGGCCGAATAAGGTATGTCAGACTGACAGGAGGTCTGTCATTCCTGGCCAGTGTTGGGTCAAACCCAAGGCAATCAATAACTCTTGGGTGTGAATAACTGTCTTGAAATGCCTAGGAATTCGTTATTTTATCTTCTCATTATTTTATTATTTTATTTTGGGTTTTATTTTGTTTACTTGTTGCTTGGCTGTTAATTGTCGGGGAGCTTGTTTGCTGGGGACAATTTGTTGTATGTGGAACTCGTTGTTTTGCGGGTATGTAAAGATTTATTTGAAGTTCCCAGACCAGGGAAAAGAAAAGGGGTTTGGTATCCCCTTCCCTTTTTTTCCGAGAAGTTGAGGAGACGCCTCACTCGGATGAGAGAAAGAGAACAGGGTTTGGTATCCCCTAGGTTGCTTGAGAAGCTGAGATAATATCTCACTCAAGCCAGAAAGCAGAAAAAAGGGTTGGTATGCCCTATCCCTAGCATGGCAGACAAAATAATTTTTATTAGCATTGAGTTGCGTAGCATCGTGTTCGGGTTCGGTGACCGAACCCGAACGTTCGAGACCGAACGCGAACGAGCACCGAAACTTTCCGAACGCGAACGTAAAAATATTTAAAAAAAAAAACAAAACAAAGTTCTCCAAAAAATGTGAAAAACTATATGTGATGTAAAATAATAATACAAGCAACTTTTGCCTTGGAGGTATGGTCAAATTCATAACCAAACTCGAGTTAAAAATCAAAAACCAAAAAACAAGTTTTTTTTTTTTTTTTTTTTTTTTTAATATGTTCGGTCGAACACGTTCGGGTGACGTTTGGCCGAACACCCGAACATGTTCGGATGTTTGGTGTGCTACATAGGCATTGAGACCACATGGACAATATCCTCAACGTCGCTGTCAAGATGAAGAGTGAAATAACTCCTCTGAATGAAAATTCAGACAATGAATGAGTTTCAGAATGACGAGAGGTTAAAGCTAGCAGCGAGTGGTAAAGTAAAAATAATAATCCTTCTTTAATTTATTTGGTGGCCGACAAGCGGCCTGGTTCACAAGGAACCCGCATCCCCGGCTATAAGGTATTCAAACTCTTAAGCCAGGGACGGTATGGGGTACGGAAAGGACTAAGGAGTTAACAGGAAGGAAGACTCAAAGATTCAAAGAGAAGGCCTCGTGTTTATGTAGTAGATAGAAGATGACCATGAACTCAACCTGAAGTAAGGCGAGAAGAAAAAAGATGCAAGAAAAAATACAGTTATTAGCATGAGGAGAGGGAGAGATTGTGCATGGGATAGAGGATGATGGGACAGGCATCAGGGCCCTGCTTGTAGTGGGAGTGGTGGGAGTTTTGGGAGTATATGGAGGGGGAGAAGTGCTGGGAGCGCCGTAGCGCACCTCGAACTTCTTATGAAAATATTCCATTCTATTCGGGGATGGGGTTCGCTCATACCACCCTACTAATGAGTGACGAGGGTAGGACCTTAAGTGGGAGTCGTAGTTCCGTGGTTCATCCTCCTCTTCCTAGGAACTGTACTCGCGTCCTACGCGAGCTGGCAGCTCTTCGCGCGCCTTCCCTCCTCTACCACCTCTTCCTCTTCCTTGTCCCCTACGTGCCTCAGGCATGGCGAAAATCGAGACGGTAACTGAGAAAACGATAAGAGACAAGGGACGTGGCGCTAACGATTGTGATTGAGAAAATACTATGAGAGTGGGAAGGCTCACTACTAGGAAGTGAGAAGATGTGTTGTGACAGGGTAGATTAGGAAACGGAAACAGAGAACTGCCGAAGAAAAGAGAAGAAAACGACTAAGCAAACTATGAAGGATTACTGTGCACTGTAAGGAGAAGGATATGAACACTGCGAAAACGCTAGAAGTGAGTTTGCGCAAAACCGCTATGCGAGCTTCCTTGCAAATTACAACGGAGATGATTGTGAATACCACTATTTTGTGCCGCTTCATAGTGGTTGCGGAGAAACCCTCGAGTTATCACTACCGGGTACCTACGTCCAATGGCAAGGAGGGGGTTCATGACCTCCTACAAGGGGTGATGAGCTTCCTACCGAAGCAGCCCCGGGTGCCCCTATTTTTGGGTTCTGCGCTGGTTGCAACCCGCTGACTAGACTTACAGTAAAGGGAAACGTAGGGCCTGACAGTCTAGGCCATCAGATTATTCAGGTTCGGATTCGAACCGTTGACGGCCCTTCCCGCGAAGTGACTACAATCAAAAAAGAGTCTCGTCTAAGAGTTCAAAAATACTAATAATAATAATAATAATAATATGGAAAAAAAGAACAAAAACGTAACGACAAAGTGACTAAAGGTCGTCAGATTTCCCCAAACTAAGGTAGGCGGTTCAGTCGTGCAGAGTAGACCTTTAGTTTTCTTTTCACTTTTCTTTTACTTTTTTTTTTTTTTCTTGTTTTCTTTGCTTAGCCTCTCTTTCTCTGACAGCGACCACCGCTCCAAGCACCTAGCCCATAACCTGACATGGGAGCAATCGGCGCGCAGTAGAAAAAACTGCGTCGGTCTATTTACTTCCGCATCCCTGGGCGAGCTAGGCGGCTACCACGGCCACAGGCCGGTAGTGCTCTGCTGTACAGCAGAGCGCTGAGCCTGCGTGGACCAATGGAAAGCCTAGTGGCGCACCCTTTTGTTGGGTGCAGTCACCGTCTCAAGTGACCCATAGCGGGGGGACTATTCGGATTTTCCAGAATCATGGAGGTTTGGGAGCATCCCGACGAGCCACAGGCGCCCGGACAAGGTGCTGGTAGCAAACAGGAGCGTGGCACACAGAGGAGGGCCGGGACACCGCGCCCTTCGACATAATACCAAACCCCCACCCAGCGTCCCCGCTGGGTCAGAATTGGTATCCCGTTATGGGACCACCATGCTGAACCTGTAGTCACATCGCAAGGGTTAGAGAGCGATGGTAACGCTGCGGGGCTCTGCTCGTGTCCTAACCTTTGAGCTTCGTTTTTCCTATGTTTGAAATTATTTAACTTTTTTTATTTTATTAATTTTGGAACTCCAAACCATTATCTGAGTTCTCATTAGTGCACGGGGATCTCAACATGTCTATGCTCTATAAAAAGGAGGTTGTTCTTGAGTCCCCCTACGAATATGTGGAGTGCACATCATTGTTAGTAGATGACAGATGCGCCTTTCACTCTGAGAGCCAGAACTCTGCTCGCGACTAGTTGCTCGATAGTACTATCAGCAGCATAAGTCTTTGAGAGCGCTACTTTGGCCGGTCGGCTTAACGCTGTGCAGAACCTGTCAATAGTGCGGCTATGGCGCGTAGCAATGGCCTCTTTGGCTATAGGCCAGGCCATCTAAGATTCCACTGGAGCTGGGAACCGATGCGCGAAGAAGGGGCTACCGTAGACGCCTGCCTGAGCTATAGTAAAAGTGACGGTTTAGCAAGGCTGAAGATAAACATTTACGGAGGGAAGGAGCAAGAGATGAGGGAGGATGCAAAGGTTCAGGGTGTAATTACTGAGGCTCGTGACCGAGCCGAGCGCCGGTTTAGAAGGGACGGAGTGACTGCGAGCTTAAAGGTAACGGTTACTTACCATGAAGAGGAGACCTCAACGAGCACGACCGAGAGAGAACAGCAGGAGCTGGACCGGGATTCTGAAGCATAGTTCGAGGCCAGCAATGCAAGGACCAGGTCATTCCACGGACTGGAGCAGTGGTGAAGAGCGCACCCGCCAGCGGAATCGGTAGAGGATGGGCCCGAGGCTAGTTCTGCCCACGGGGGGGACTGAGATTAAGGGAGAAAAGGGACTATCTGCATCGGGGCGGACCGGTTGTTGTTGATGTTAGTCTCGAACGAATCATGGGGGTGATGCGTACATACTCAGCTGATGGGTAAGACACGGGTAACAACCTCTGGGTCGCGATGCGGAAGCAGAGAGGGACGCAAGTGACTGTAGGCCAGTACACGTAGTAGGGACGCGTCGTACGACAAGCATGAGAGAGAGACTAGACCATGGGGGAGGCAAGCGCAATGTGTGTGCTTGGGATGCTGACGTTAACTTGACTTCAGCGCGCGACAAGACAGAGAGAGTGGACGCACGTGAGGACTAAGGCGAGAGAATCGCTACCGCAACCTTCTCGGGCGAGCAGGCAAGAGAGAGGTTTTGGCATGCTCACTATGCAAGGCTCATGTGCGGGGATGTGACAGAGCTAACTGTCACGCGAAATGGAGAGGGCCAACGGATAATGAGGGCAAGACAGAAAAGCGATACAGTTACGAGAGAGATGTGAGAGACAGTCAAGCGAGAGAGAGTGAGGACAAGCAGGGCTGATGAGCCCGTGAAGGCCGTCTCATGACAACATCACGAGTGAGGCAATAAGACTAGCAATCAAGAGAGGGAAAGAAGGAGAGACAACCAGAAAATGTGGGTTGCGATTGATATGGGTTTTACCGCGTGAGTAAGACGATGGGTCAGATTGACAGTGCTTTCCCAGCAGCGTGACACGGGAACGAGAATAGGGGTTGACGTCACCATATTTGCTTGCTGCTGAAACTTGTCAATCTGGTTTCATCACAACGAGTGTTGACGAGAGACTAAGCTAACGGGTGACAGCATGCGACTAGACCCGTGACAATGTCTTGTGGCTAAAAGATGTCATTTAGCCGCAGGCTTGAGAGTGCTTCTTTTTCCCTGGCTCTGAATTTCAGTCAGCACCTACGCTTCCATGAGTAGACCTGTGAACCTAGCGACTGTATCATAGAGTTATTTACTCGTTAACTTTTTTTATAGTGGGGACTGATAGTGATGTGAAATGTTGTTTGTTTCAATCAAATTAAGTAAGTTGTGGAGTCCATTGGTGTTAACTTCGTCGAGGCATTCTCGTATGAGACTCATTGTTAGAGAAACGAGTTGACCTTTGCACAAATTTAGTTTAAGAGAAGAGATTTGGGCTTAAGCATGTGAGTAATTATTGGACCTTATGATGAGATTTTGGGAGAAAGGAAACTGATATGGGTGTGAACATGATGCGAGGATAATGTATGACTATGGTAATGAATATTGCTTCTGGATAAACCTGATTAGTTACCTTTTCTTCCACTATTGCAGATCATTGTAATAGCTAGAGGTGTGGATGATTGATGATATATTGAGAGTGAATGGCTTGTTTGAGGGACAAGCCACACCTAAAACGAGTCAAAAACTGATCTACATGACCCTTAAGTCATGATGTCAGTCCGTAATTAGTGCAGATCGCGACGCCCTTACCTACTCTCATTGAGATTGTGTGGTGTACCGTGACCTTAAGGACCAGTGGTAAAACTGATTATCAGGAATCTTAGATTATTCCGTGTTGCGTACCGTGTAGTTACTTTCACCCTTCTTGTGATGAGGACAACAAAAAGTAAAAAGGGGGTCAGAACAGAGTTCTTGTTTGTCTTGCAATCGAGATGTTTCCATTTGGTCGTCATTAATGGTAAGGGGCGTGTGCGGTGAGGTCAAACTTCCATGAAAGAAGGGTAGAGTAAGTTGATGTTTGATGTGATTTAGCCACAGGCTCGAGAGTGCTTCCTTTTCGAGAGAGCTTCCTTTTTCCTGGCTCTGGATTTCAGTCAGCACCTACGCATCTTGTTTTTGCCTTCTCAGGCGATGTGATTTCGCGGGCATCATGTAAAAAGGGAAAACGAGAGGGATGATGACGCGGGTCTTAACGGGCTGAGCGTCGGACTATAGAGCGTGAACTAGGAGAGACATCCTGTTCTGTGCAGAAGTCGTGATCTTCGCCCTTGAAAGTCCATACGAGCATGTGGTCTGATGAGCCCACGTGTACACATACGTTCGTGCGAAAACACTATCATGTAGGCTCGCAGGGCAGGGAACTGGTCGTATGGGCTTGTTGGTGCTTATGTGGCAGCCTGATCTAGTCTGTAAGCCCTTGTATAAGTGTGAACGCGCGCTCTATCTAACTGGCGAAGCAGTCACCTTATCACTCCAGCTTAATTTAGACGAGTGATCATTTGCAGTTCTCTTTGAGTACCGAGTCTGAGCGATGAACCGCCGGGGGAGAAGAAAGCAGTTAAGAAAAATCTCTTATTTAATCGCCAAGTTTTTACGTGATAGTGATTAGTACTAGCTGTGATTAGCGTTCAGGACGTTAACAAGGATCGACACCAGGGAGCGGGGGTAAGTCGAAACGAGGAATTTACCTAAGTATCGCCTACCCTTACTTCTGATATTGAGCAACCTCAAAGTCTTGAGATGACCAGGCAGAGGCTGTGATGTTTTCTCTAAACTATATCCACAGGCGCCTTAGCGACTTAGGAGCCTTTTAAGAAACCAGATTGGACTGAGCTGAAGGGTGACTTTGTAAGTACATTGGATCTACCCGTAATTGTAATCGAACTTTTGGCTGAAATATGGAGCTCTTTCGTCAAAATGAAATCTAAAGATATGATTAATCCTACCAGTGTGCACGGAGAATACCCTGTCACTCAAGACCGGAGGCAGTCACGACTGTTGGCCACCCCTATTGGGCATTGCCTTACAATACACACATACACCTCTGCTCGGAATGGTCAGATGGACTTAGGACTGGAACTATGAAAGCTGGTTTGGCGCAGGTAGTTAACAACCAAAACAACTGCAACACACTCATAAATAGCTTAGCTACTTGATGTTTGAATTGCAACGAGACTGCCAATACTCTGAACTCTCACTGGGCATACTGGTTACGGCTACTGAGGGATTGAGCAATGACTCATCACGAGTCATTTCCCTAGGGAGTATGCTCGGGTCGCAGCCAGTGGACCATACGGAGTCAGTGTTGCAGTATGGTATAATTTCAAAAACCGACCAGCCGAGAAGAATCAAGAGCAGGCTACATTCAAACCCTCAGCGCTGATTAACTAACCTAAAGACCAATTGCCAGTCAGACATCAGAAGGAAACCATGAAGTTGGCATTACTCAGATTCAACTACCATATCATTGGGACAGATAAGGCCTGCAGTTAATATACCAATCTGTCACCCTCATGGGTAAAAACTCGACAAGCCCAGGCGGTGAATGGTCATTTATGAGATTCAGGTGCTCCGAAGTGTGAACTCGACACTTACTCACCAACTCTACTCATCAGTGCAAACCAAACATTTAAGGACAAACGTTTTTATTAAGCCCCGAAAGCCATTTTCGTGAGACTGTTCTGATTGGACTACGACATGTCAGACGATCAGAGCAGTTTCAATACTAATACAGAAACGGGGAGATGATTCTTGCAGGCTGATGCTAATGATCTCGTAGCGGAATAAACTTTTAAGGGTAAATTCAATATCAGTCCTTGACTGAAAGAACAAACGAAGCACTTTGATCGACTCTAGCGACTTATATCATTGGGAACCATGAAAGATAGTGAGGTGCCTAGTTGTAAAGTGCAGTTCGGTAAGAGACGAGAAGGAAGGATGAGAAGAGGAGGCATGTCGGGACATGGACTTTCATAAGCAGGTTCTGCGAGAGCATGCAGTTCGGATAATCAGGGAAGAAAGATACATTGAATACGTATTTTACTTCTGTGGTCGTGACGGTAAGCTGCACAACACAGGCTCATTCCTAGAAACGGTGAAACAGGCCAAGGCAAGGTTCTGGTCAATGTAGGAAACACCCAGGCTTTCTAGTTACGACTTCCACTAGTATCTCAACTAAAGAAATCGTTTTTTTGCAATCTACAACCCTTCGAAGTGAACTGTATTTGGTGACTCTGACTTGATTTGAGTTTCGGCACGCAACTATCAGCCTTCAATCAATAGTCATGCAACCTTCAATTTTGGCCAGTACTCAGACGTTGTCAACTAGTACGAGGGTCAACATTAATCAAACAGAGCCCTTACCAAAAGGCAAGTCAACTTCAATACCCATTTCAACCACATGAGCACGATTCAGTCATTACCAGTTAGTGAATCAGTTTTGGCCAGGCTCAACAAGATTGCCACCAAAGAAGCCTTTCAGTATCGATATGTCAGTGCAGTGGGTTTCAGACGAGGAGACCCATGAGCATTTCGATTCGGTCTAGATCACAACAGCCAGGCACCTCAAGGAAAGAGAGAGGGAGTTTGATGAGAAAGGTACCAAGCTGATCCGTAGCTTTGGACCTAAGCTCTATGCTGACTATCCCAAAGCTCCGGTACCTTTCACTCTTTTAGACGGCTCTCGTTGGGGTGACTTGGTGGATCTAGCCAAGAGGTGTACATTTCTCCTGCAGTGATCGACTACGAGGCAGTGACTGAGCCTTCCGAGTTTCCGCATCTCAGGCGAGGGATTTTCTCACATCCACACCTTCCAACTCTATGGGAGGAGTTTTTGTGCTATGGTTGATTTTTGTATCGTGGGACTTGGATGAAAGTGCTCAGGACTAGCAGGTTTCAGGTGGCTCTACATACAGAGACCACAGTCTCAGAGAGTACGAAGACATGGCCGAAAGCCCAAGTGACAGACAGTAAAATGAGAGATTGAGTGTGAGAATCTAGAGGGATGAGTGAGGATTCAAGATTGGTGCTGGCCATGCTCTTTTCCATGAGTACTTTCTGAGACTATTATGAGTTCTCATTCTTTCCTCACTTAACATTGTCATTGCTCGAGTCAGTCAGTCTTGCTTCTTGCATTGTCGTTGTTGATGATTGCATTTCTCTGATGATTCTGTCACGGTTCTCAAAATTAGTAAACTGACAAAAATTGATGCATGCATGACACACCATAATTTTATGATTATTACTTGCAAGATTTTTTGTTGTTCCGAATCAAAATAAAAGATTCCTAAGACTGGGGACCGGCGAAGACCGCAATTGAAGAGTCTCGCCCGAAGCCGGACGCACACAACAGGAAGGGATTTGCTCTATTTAGTTTATTTTATTTACTACAAACGACATCCTAACCCTGCGTGATAGCCTGTTGCCTTTTTGGTCGCCTGAAGAGGCCCAACTGGAAAAGGTGCGACAGCGTGTCGCTCAAGAAGTGAGCTAGTCGAATTGTGTCGTACCCAGCCTCAGCCCAGCTATAAGTTGTGTTGGGACTGTTGGGCTTGCCTTAGGTACTGGGCCTACTACTGGCCTAAAAACGGCCTACTTGGTCTGGGTCTCTACCTGGTATCCAGACCCGGCTGCTGATGCAGCGACGCGCCAAAACGCGCCTGGCCTCAAAGTGGCCTCGTCCCTGTGTACGTGGCCCAAGGCGCCGCCTTGGGACCTGCAGTCTGAAACGACATCTGAACAGAGCACTGCTAGTACCTGCGGCTTGTAGGGCCACCATGGGCCTCCAGGGCGCATGGCGCCCGTGTGCAGGCGCAACATATAACCCCCCCCCTCTCCTTACGAAGTCAAGCCGGGTCGAGGGCGAAGCTGACGATCTGAAGGTGGAACCTGGACGCGAGCGCGACGTAGAGCCGAAGATGCCGGTTTGCCGTGCAACTTGCGTTTGTATTGTGTGAGAACATCCAAAGCTCTTGCTTAAAGTTCTTCACGGGTTAACCAACGGTTAGCTGTATCAGCCAATATGGGTGCAGTACGCAAAATGTACCAAGTATTCGGCCGGCCTGTTGTCATAGCGTCTCAAGGAGATGATGTCGTCGACCTCTTGAAAACCATTTATAGAGGGTGGGTCTTGCAATCATCGGTCGGGAAGTCATCATATTCCGCTGTCATGAAAAAAAAAAACTTGGAGCAATGAAGGACTGGGTAGATGGGCAAGTGGGCGGACACCTGAATGACAAATGAAGGTCCTTCAGGTGCGTCCCAGCGGGTACCACGATCCGCCAGGGCCCCAAACATTTTGGGAGGAGCTTGCGAGAGATATCCTGTTTGGGGCTAAATTTTGCGGCGGAGAGCCATACAAGGTCGCGGACGCGGAATGGACAAGGAAGACGCTGGCAATTGGTCTGTAGGCTCATGCGTTGTTGCGTCTTTGCCATCTAATCGCGTGCTTTGACAAGTAGCTCTTGCATCCGACGCAAGAAAAGATGGTCGTCGCTCTCGACCACCGGTGGGATGATTGTGTCCGACGGAGAGGTGACCGGTGAGTTGTGCTCGAACTCAAAGGACGACATCCCGATAGCCGGATGAATGGACGAGTTGTATGCCAACTCGACATCTGACAGCCGCTCAACTGAATCCTTTTGGTCGGGGCAGATGAGAGTGCAAAGGAGAACTTGTATGGTCTGATGCGCTCTCTCCGTTTGACCATCGGTTTGGCGGTGCCGAGCCGAACTCGGCTTGAAAGATGAGCCCCATCGTTTGATAAGCGCCAACCAAAAATCAGATATGAACTGAGTGTCCCGATCGCAGACGATTTCCTTGGGGTAACCCTTGGTTTGAATCCAACCGGCGTAAAGAACCTCGACCAACTCCGGTGTCTTGGTATGATAGCGGCAAGGCAAAAACATGGCAAACTTGATGAGTCGTTCGACCACCGTAAGAATCTCATCCACACCGGTCTTGTGCTTGGGGAACGGCCCAGTGATGTCCACGACAATCGCTTCCCTTCATCATAAGCAGTGTGTGTAATCTGACTAAGCGTCTCTCCGAACCGTGCGTGTAAGATTTCCAAGCACACGACTCTCCATCAGTTTGGCAAGACTACTGACTGTTTCCCTTCCATTTTCATGTACTATGGAAACTCTTATGCCACACTTCGTGCCGGCACACGGACAAAAAAGTTGAAGGCGTTCCTGAATTTTCTAGGTAGACGCAACTTCGTTGCGCAAGGAGACCGGTAGTGGTCGCAACTTGCTGTATGGACGATGATTGTGGGATTTGCAGCATCGGCAAACCTCGCATGACTCACAATAGCATGTGGTGTCGCCGAGGAGGCCGGGCCACCAAAATCGCTCGCGAAGTCGGCCAATCGTTCAACTGAATACAAAGTGTCCGGTGGCGGGAGAATCGTGGAACTTGCCAAGAGCCTCGTAGGCAAGTGGGGATCACTTGGCATGCAAAGAAGGTCCTTTCCTCGTGTGTGGACAAGCAAGTATCCCTCTTGGATCCGGTAGTGCGATGGCGCTGGATTAGGAGAGGAGCAATTCACATACTTGTCGTGAAACTTGGGGTCGACTTGGTAGCCGCGGATGAAGCTGTCCCACAGGTCATCATCGATCTTGACGGTCGAATAGACGGCGTTGCAATGATCCGGACGCCGTGAAAGAGCATCTGCAAAACGGTTTGACTTGCCCGGGATGTGATTGGGAAAGAGGTTAAACTGGTCAATGAAAGTCATCCAATGGGTGATGGTGTTGTTAACCGTGTCTTGGGTCTTATAAAAGACCAACGGATTGTTATCTGTCACCCATCGGAATTGACTTCGACGAAGGAGAAAGTGTCGCCACTGCTTGAGTGTGTGGACGAAGGCTAGGAGCTCCTTCTTTAGTGCATCGTCGATTGAGTGCAAAACGGGCACCTTCTTGCCGAAATATTCGAGTGGGTGCCAGTCCAAGCCATCATGTTGCTCGAGGACGGCACCAATACCATAGCTAGATGCATCAGTAGTGACGCGCATCAACAATAGCGGGTCGTAGATGTGCAAGACCTCCACAGATAGTAACACGGCATGGAGGGCAAAAAATGAACCCCTCACATCCTCATCGAAGTCGAACGGTCGATCCTCGCATTGAAGCTTGGTCAAGTGGGCCGCGATCTTCGAATAAGTTTTGATGAAACGTTGATAATAGCCGGCAAGGTGAAGAAACGAATAGACATCTGTGGCGTTTCGCAGCCCCGACCACTCTTGGATGACTTGAATCTTGTTCGATAACGGACTGATGCCCTCCGGTGTGACAAAATGGCCCAAGTATTCCAACTCTTGCCGGACAAATTCGCACTTGTCGCGGTTGGCTTTGTACTTTGCACGACGGAGCGTCTCCAACACTCATTGAACATGCTCAAGGTGATCCTCCAAGGTCCGAATATAGACGAGAATGTCATCCAAGTAGACCAGCACGAGCCGGTCCAACATCGCACGAAACTTGTTGGTAATCGCCGCTTGAAAGGTTGTCGGGGCATTTGTGAGGCCAAAAGGCATGACCACCCACTCAAAATGCCTGTACCTCATCTTGAACGCGGATTTATAGTGATCATTCGGACGTATCGAAATTTGATGATAGCCCGACTTCAAGTCCAACTTGGAAAAGTACTTCACGCTGCCCAATCACTCAAGAAGATCATAAATATGAGGAAAAGCTCCCTCATTCTTAATGGTTTGCGCATTGCGTTTGTGGTAATCGATGATGCACATCCGTAGATCCTTGTTCTTCTTTCGTACAAAGAGAACTGGCACTCCATATGGGGAACTACTAGGGCGGATCCAACCTTTGTCGAACAAGTCATCGAGTTGTACGTGGAGGACCGCGAGCTCCTCCTCGCTCATGCTATAGATGCAAAGTTTCCGCGGCATGGCACCGGCCTCAAGAAAGATCTCATGAGAGATTGGCCGGTTCGACACCATACCGGTAGGTGAGTTGAAGACATCGGCGAACTCGTCAAGCAACCGCACCACACGGGGGTCCGAAGACAAGTCTGTGGGTGAAAGAGTTGACTACTGTGATGGTTCGTAGGAAACATAGGCGTATCTCGTCGGACTGCTCGTAAGCATAAGTAGCCAGGGACGACTTGGCCGTCACCACTTGGCACCGGATCGAAGGGTACAGAAGAGGAATGATACACAACACATCGGCGCCGAAGACATCGCGGATGGTAAGAGTCCGCCGGTGGAAGTTGACCGTGTGATCCGCACTTGCAAGCCAAGGAATTCCCAAAATGATATCGAAGACTGTGTCCAAAACGTCGAACATTACCGATTGGCATGCATGAGTTGTGAAATATATCGAGACGGCCTCGATGTAGCGGTCGATAAGTTTTGCGTCTTTCCGTTCGCCAACTTGATCTCCGTCGCGTTTGCCTTCCTGCGCCAATGTCAACCCTTTGCATAAAGGTTTGGCTAATGAAATTGCGATGTCGGTGCAAATACCCTTACAAGGATATGCACCCTCGTTTTTGCAAGCGACAAAAAACAAGTAAGTTCAGTTTAAAGTTTAAGTATATTGCACGAAGCGCGGCTGTGTCCGGGGTTTACGTTGGCTGGATTGTTGATTAGAGTAGAGAGTGTGTGGGCACGCAGATCTGAGACGCGAGTGATCCTTTTTTGATTTTGCTGATGATTGAAGAGTCGGCGCGACCGCCGACCAGATCCTTACTTTCTGATTAAATTAGGATTAAAAGAATCCTCTCTCGAGATTGGTATGCTTGTCGGTGACTTGTCCGTACGTGCGAAGGACGACATCGCCAATAGTGAGGTTTTGAAAGCGTTCTGATGGATATGCGCGTTGCGCAGTATCGGTTTATTTAGATGTCCGTCAGAGTTGGACCCAACCTTGGGCCTAGTTATATCGGTTATGGTGTCAGAGTCGCAAGCGGCGACAACATAAGAATATCGGTGCGGCACGAAGTGGCCAAGGCAGTTTAGCAAGCCCTCTTTTCCCTTCCCTCGTCGTACGGTTCTCCCTTTTTGCTTTTATGGTTATCATTATATTATCATTATTAATACTATTATTATTGTTATTCTCGTACGTCACCTTTTTTAGCGGGCGTGGCACTGGGACCAATGGTGGCCGACGTGCCTGCAAACCAGCGGCTGGTTAGCCTCGAGGCGGAAGGGGTTTAGGTGACACAAGCACACCACCAGCGAGCCGTGGGTCCGTTGTGGGAGGTTTGAGTGTGGGCATGCCTTTGAGACCTAAAAGACGGGGTTGCGTCTGGGCACAAGTAGCCCATGATACTGCCCGGAGACGCGCGAAAACATAAGTTGCATGAGTTGTTCGCGGGGAACCCCTCCCCAGTACGGGCCTCAAAAGTCCCTTATTTGAATATTTGCTACTACCACCAAGATCTGCACAACGAACCGGTTGTCAAAGCTCTTCGGCCCCGCGACCTGCTGTGAAAAGGGTAAGTCGGAGCATGCCCTGTGGGAACCCGAAAGGGAGATGGGCTCTGCACAGGCGGGGCGCTTAGAGGAAACATCTGGAGGAGACTCGTGACTGTATTGTCACGCTGATCATACGCTGAGCTACGGAGAAGGGGAAAAAGGTTAGTTGGCTCGTTAGTAGTTAGTTCCGCAGAAGTGTAGATAGCTCGTGACAGATTTCGCTACTACCAGGTGCAGTGCTAGTATCAAGCAGGCGGAAGGAGTGAAGGATATTGGAGAAGAAAGGGTGGCCAGCCCCGTCTGAATGTGGACGAGGAGTCGCGTCGGATGCTTGCGCGACGAGATCGGGGATGGCCGAAAGATGAGCAACGCGCAGTGGGGAGTAGACATTATGCTCATTCCTTAGTGGAATCGAGCAAATAGAGATGCGATTTCGGGGTTTTTGAGCAAGGCGAGTTGAATGGCGGTGTCAGATTCGGAGTTAGGGTGTTAGTCTTGGCGGAAGAATAGGGAGATGGAGAGAGGAATTATGAAGAAGGAATAGGGTGAGGTAGATATCACCTAGCTTGCTCGATTTTTAGCAAAACCGAGTGAACTTAGACATGGAACCGGGGTTATAAGGCAAGGCGACGTCGTTAGCAGTGTTAGTGAAAAGGAAATGGGTTAGGACCTATGAAGGAGGAAGGGCTGTGCTAGGCGATGGCGGAGTGAGAATTGAACGGAAGGGAAGGTTGTGTAGCTCGGTTGATCTTCGTAATAAGACTAAGTGAGGGAAGATGGGGTGTAGGGGCTATTAGGCAAGGCGAATCTTGCTACGATGTTAGATCTAGAAGTTACTGTGTAGGTCTCGAGAGCCGATAGGTAGAAGCTGCGCCCGAGAAAGAGGTTTTGTTTTTACGAAAGAAGTGTTATGAACCTTCCCACATTTTATGGGAAGATTCATCGAAGGAAGGACCTCCCACTCTCTATGGCATGAGCGGATAGCGACGATTGCTTGCGATGTATTTGTGTAATACGGGTGCATCTTCGCACGTTCTATCGGAAGGTTCATTCTAATTTTGCTCACCTCTACCGCACTGTACCTGTGGCCATCAGTTGGGCGAAAGGGGCCGACCTCGATTCTATGGATAGTTGCCCGGGTGAGAGGATGGGAGCGGACTTCGGGATTCCGACCTCGGATGGACCCTGATATGCAAACGAGTAAAAGAGGGAGAAAAACTTACGATTGCATACGGGCAATTTTCTCCACGGGCGCCTCACCGGGGTGAGCAATCATCCCTCCTAAGCTTGCGGCGTTTTGATTTCCTGTGATTCTGTTAGCAGCTGCGCAACTTCGTTGAGGAGGTATATTTCTATCGATGTGTGTCGGGGTTGCACTCATGTAGCCGTGCGTTGTAGGCCAGTGACCCAAATAAATGTCTGCGTATTACGGCTTAGTATCAGTGAGGGTACGACGACATTGTTGTTAACCAACTGCTTTGCAAAGTGTCGTTTTCACTTCACGTCGCTGAGCACTTCCGCTGATTGAGAAGGGACAACTTACCTGACAAGGTTAGCAATGTGGGGTGAGCCGAAGGGGCCGACCTAAGTGTCGGACTGTGTGGGAAGATGGGTCGGACTGCTACAGTGTACCAAGCCCACGTGGCAGTGGTTCACATATTCAGCATCTGCGTGCTTATTGATTTCGGTCTTGTGAGGCGGGTGCTGCGGTTGGTACGGTGGCTGAGGAATGTGTCCTTTTTCTCTTGTATGTGAGGATGTGCGGTTGTTGAAGGACAAGGCTGCGAATGCCGTATCCGTGTGGCTGACTGTGTATAGTTGACTTGGCACTGCGTTCCACCTGCTTTGGACTACCGCATACGGTAGCTGCGTGCGCCATTCTTCACTAAGTTTTTGTTGCACTTGCTAACACTTTGATTAGAGTATGGGGAAGGGGAGTTCTACTTGGATAAAGCAATCAAAGGCTGTGTAACTGTGTTCTGGTCAAGGATTGGATTGCACTACCAAAAAAAGGGAATGATCAAACGCTTCAAGAGGGGGTTACTGTTGTCGTTTGGAGGACCGCCGGGGGGTCAACATTCCGCATTCGGATTCCCACCTAGCCGTATTACTGTGTTCTGGCCACCATTGCGGGGCCCTCAGGCATAATAAGAAACCAAGACCCTCTCGCGTGAGTCTGAGAGCGACTTTCTTAGCTCTGAGAGTCTTAAAGCTTCTCATTTTGCCCTTCTAACTCTATGTCTGGTCGATTGGTTCTGAGAGAAACGCGACAGGCGGGATTGCAACCCGTAGGACCACAGCAAGACTCTGTGGGGAGTCTGCCTACTGATTGCGGGAGCTCTGCCGGAATCTAGGGAAGGTTCTGGAGGCAGGGAACCATCATGTATATCTCTTTCTGCCTATATGAACCCACTACTTCCCTGTTTGACTATCTCCTTTTAGTTTGACTGATGTATGCATGTGTTCCCCTATGATTTTGTTTTCTTTTCAGGATTCAATCATACTGAAAGGAAGGAATATATGCGTGAAGTCTAAGTTTCCCTTTATTTTGGCCGAAAGCATACTAAGGGATGAATTGGGCGAAGGTGGGAGGAAGGTAGCTTGCATGCGTTTGACCGGGTCAATCAAAGACAGGGCATTGTTTCTAAGCTGAATGACCCAGGGTTATGTTTATTTGATTGTTTTCTAAAGGACCAGGCATTGTTTGCCTGGTTGCTGTGTTTATTTTTGAGGGTGTGCCTGAATGATCTTTAAGACCAAGCATTGTTGAAAAGTGAATGACTTGGTCGGTCTGTTTCTTTTGGGGTTTCTGACTGAAGTTGGGCTAAAGAATCCGACTTCATGCTTTGAATGGTTTGAGGATAGGCTGAATATTGCTTCTAAGCTGAATGGTTCAGCCTTTTGTTTTATTTTTTTAGGGAGGATTTTTTATCTAAGGCTAAGCATTGTTTCTAAGTTGAATGGTTTAGCCCGAAGACCACGCACATAAGTATAAACTCAGCATAACAGGAAGTACTTTATTTATACTTATATGAGAACTGACAGCTAGACATTGTTTCTAAGCTGAATGGTCCAGCGCTAAGCCATATCATTAAGAAGAGCACGGAAAATACTGAGTATAATTGGAAATAATATGGGCAAGCTGAGCATTGTTTTTAAGTCGAATGGCTCAGTCCCCTGCCCATATTTTCATTTCTTTTGAAAACAAAGTTAGAAAATTATTAAACTTCTACTATTAAACAGTTCTGGGAGGCTAGGCATGATTTTAAAGGTGAATGGTCTAGTTATATGCCTAAAAAAGAGAAATAGCTATGCAACATATTCGTGTATATTCTAAAGGCATGCTAGACATTGTTTCTAAGCTGAATGGTCTAGCACCATTCCATATGTAAGTTGGGTATGAGGGTTAAATCATCTAAAAAGTTTCATGAACGATCTATGAGGATTTTGACTTGGGGATGGTGAGATTACTTACCCCTGTGTTTTGGCCTGCATATGGCTGAGTGAGATTATTTACTTAGTTTGAGTTTCA